GAATAGGAAATTTGTTGGATTCTGACAGTGTCTGATCATTGGACTTCTTCCTTTATGACATCCACACAAGTCGTGTGCTCGCTTCCCCAAGATGGCGGTTATGGTTATGGATGGTTATGGCTTAGAAGTGGCCACAGGGAATGGGTGGCGGCTCCACCTAGGGATTACTGAGGTCGTGTTTGTGGAAGATGTAGATTCCTTCATGAAACAGCATGGGAATGAGACTGCAGATACAGTACTAAAGAAGCTGTATGAACAGTACCAGAAGTAAAAGTTTATGGAACTCAAACCTTGCTCAAAAGAAAAGGAGGCTAGAAGGCCAGATTCCTGAAATTAAGCAGACTTTAGAAATTCTAAAATACATGCAGAAGAAAAAAGAGTCCACCAGTTCACTGGAGACCAGATTCTTACTGGCGGTAACCTGTATTGCAAAGCTTCAATTTCTCCTACTGATAAAGTGTGTCTGTGGTTGGAGACTAATGTAATGCTTGAATATGGCATTGATGAAGCTCAGGCATTGTTGGAAAAGAATTTGTTGACTGCCACGGAGAATCTTGATTACCACAGAAGTCAGTATGGCCAGGGTTTACAATTGGGATATAAAAAGAAGAAACGAAGATGATTCTACCAAGAACAAAGGATAATGCTGGCAATTAAAAATGTGGTTCAGGCGCCTGGGTGGCTCAGTTGGTTAAGCGTCTGCCTTCGGCTCAGGTCATGATCCCAGGGTCCTGGGATCGAGCCCCACATCGGGCTCCCTGCTCCACGGGAAGCCTGCTACTCCCTCTCCCACTCCCCCTGCTTGTGTTCCTGCTCTCGTGCTCTCTCTGTCAAATAAATATGTGGTTCAGTTTTCCAAACATGTTATTTTAAATACCCCAAAGTTTATCCCTAAATGTTGACATGACTTTGATTTTTTTTTTTTAACAGCAGGAACAATTAAAACTTAAAAAAAAAAAAGATAAACACTTTATTATAAAAACAAAATTAGTTTCAAATATTTTATGAAATTAGCAGTATTTTCATTTTTTTTATTTCCAACAAAGTAAGTCTACTTTCATCTTTTTTGGTTTTTCATAAAAAAAGTCTTAGCTAAAATGGCTGAGGTATGCTATGGAAGCTGAATTCTGGACACTTTTCTTTATTGGCTGATGTTACTTTCACTTGATTTGGTTAAACCAATGTAGAGGTAGGAAAAACAGTTGAAATATTTCCAAACTTTTCTTTAGTACATTTGAGGCTTTATGGCTCTCTGTTGCTGTTGTTTGTCATATTTATATAAATGGATTTTCATTAATTACTGTTTAGCCAATAACGATTATAATATTCTGTGCTTTTCAAGAAATGGTAATTTGCGTCCCTAAACAGTAAGAGGGCTATCGAGATCCCTTTTTCTTACCCCATAGAAGTGCACAGTGTCTTTGCAATGCCAACATAAGGGAGATCTTGGCCAACATGAAATAACAAAATTCTTTAGCCACTCAAAACTCTTGGCTAAGGCAATTTTGTATTTCTTAGCAGTTCTCCAAAGCAGCTGAACAAGAATATTAAGATAAATATAAATCTGCAGTGGTTGAAAAGATTTGTGAGCTTTTTTATTCATGATAAAACCTCATAGAGTAGAAAAATTCCTGTGGAAAGCCTTTGGTACAGTGGCTAGCATTGGGTGACACAGATTCTGATAAAAACAAATATATTATTCCATCTCCATGTAGTACAACATAGACTCGTACAATGTTTTGTATTTGTATTTCATGATACTAAAACATTGAAGTTAAAAAAAATAACATCCAGGGTGCCTGGGTGGCTCAGTCGTTGGGCATCTGCCTTCGGCTCGGGTCATGGTCCCAGGGTCCTGGGATCGAGCCCCACATCGGGCTTCCTGCTCAGCGGGGAGCCTGCTTCTCCCTCTCCCACTCCCCCTGCTTGTGTTCCCTCCCTCGCTGTGTTTCTCTCTGTCAAATAAATAAATAAAACATTAAAAAAAAAATAACATCCACACAAACCAATCCTAAACATTCTTTACATTCTTGTGTTCCTTCTATGTAGTATATGTCCACTACTGTTAAATCGTGTTGAAAACCAGGTAATTTGTTGATGGCTTACTAAAATAAACAGTTAAAGATGCCTCTATTGCATCTTATATTTAAATACATTTTTCAGAGGCCTCATTTACCCTAAAACTTAATAGAAATTAATTTTCAAACAAAGGGATACTTAATATATACTAAAGTAGCAATGTATTTCATAAATAGTGTAATATATAATGAAAGGAGGTCTTTGTAAAAAAAATACATTTAATTTTAGTTAAGTGGATTTCTCAGGCTTTTGTTAATACCATAATAGTCTATGGCATGATATTTTATGATTTTTTTAACTTTATACAGCTTCTGATTCTGAACTTGATCCCCTTGCTTTTCTTGGAATGTGGGAAGATATTTAAAATTTTTTTTTCCTGAGTGGGGGGGGTTGGGGTGTGTGTGTGTGTATGTGTGTGTGTAAAAACATGGACCAGTATGACTGAAATGAAAAACTCTGTAGGTCAGTCAGTTGGTTATCGCTCATCTATAGCTGCTTACAAGGAAGTTGGAAACACTGATGCTGCTACTCAGGTAACAGAGATCCCCAGGCAGATGAGAATGCTGATTGTGTGATTCACATTTTTAACTTGATTGTCCATTTTGGGACTTAACCTAATTTAGCCTATTTTTGGTGGGCCAGTAATATTTCATGTGAATGTGGCCTCTTTCAGTATCAACAGGAAATTGATGGTGAAGGTTGGACTGATTATCTCAGTCACATCAATTTCCCTAAATTGGTATTCCCCTACCAACAACAGGGGTTAGAATACCACCTGGGAAATGTATCTAAACAGTCTAATAGATGATTTTTTTCTAATCCTCTGTGGGATCTGTCGAGTGCAGTGTCTCAAATAGTACCAGGTATACCAGACAATTAATAAATATCATTCTGTAACTTGGTATGTGACTGGTGAACAAGATTAGCAAGAAGGGAGAATATCTTGTAGCAGGTGCCCTGGGTAAAACTTGCAATCTAAGGGTTTTTAAGCACGTGAAATTTTGCTTGCATGCTCTAATGTGCCATTTCTTATATTCTAAATTTCTCAATGGAAAAAAACCCCTGATCTATGCCGTCCTATACCAGAATGAATTACTACCTAACCTCACCTATCCTAACTAGCTTGGTCATGTTCAGTAAAATGAATTAAACTTAGAAAGATAATAGTATTATGCCATACTTGGTGAATGTCACTTATCTCTACTATTTATATTTTTCATTATAATCTGGTTATGAAATATTCCAAGAATGCTCCAGGAAGTACATAGAATAATATAAAGGTCACCATGTAGCCATTCACAGTTTTGTCAAATCTTAACATTTTGCCATATTTGTTCTCAATATATTTTTTTAAGAAACTGAACAATTGAAACTTCCATTGTAACTTTTACTCCCTCTCTTCCCAGAGATAACTACTATCCTGAATTTGGTGTTTATAATTCCTTTAAATGTTTCTGCACTTGTACTACATATTTGCATATGAAGTTTTGAAACTTTTTATAAATGACATCACTCTGAATATATTCTTCCCCAATTTGCTATTACCACTCAATTTTTATGTTTTTGCCATTTATCCATGTTGATAGATGGGAATGTAGTTCATTCATTTAAATTGCTTATAGTATTCCATTATACAATGTGAGAGGTTAAGCCAACTGTGCAGTTAGAGGATGCAGTCCCCGTAAGACTGTCCTTACTTCAGCTACCCAACCCCATTTGTTGTGTCTGTTAATCCTCACTCAGGCTAAGGTATGTTTCTTCATGTATAATTTTAGATTATAAACATATCTTAAGGGGATTCTGTCTGTGGCTCTTTCATGTGGCTTCATGTCGCTCCAGAAAGTTTTAGCAATTGCTTCCACCAAGTCTCCAGAGGTACTACTGACCCAGAGCCACTTTTCTTTCATGGTGTTTTATTGGTTAAGCGCTTCTTGGATCATGTAGTATAATTTCAAACCCCCGACCTGTGTGAGGACAGACCACTGGTTATAAATACAGAGGTATAATCTTCTCCACCCAGGGCTTTGGATAAAACCATTTTTCTTTTCTCCCTTTTGTGGTTAAGTGGGTTTTCACTGAAGTGTAGTCCTTTAAGGATCCAGACATTATGAGAGAATATCTCATTTTCTACTCCCTGCCTTACTTGGATCTTAAGGACTCTCCTGTCTCTACGTAAGCATTAAAACCCAAGCCCTTAGTTTCATGAGATAGGCAAACTCCTTAGAACTTCTGCAGCATTAACTCATGTGCTTACTGTTCTAGTTTTCAGTTCCCAGTGTAGTTTTTGCTTACTTTTAAGGTAAGCAAAATATCCAGGGGTCTCCCAGAGTCTTCCCTGCTTGTTTCCTCCTTAAGACTTCTCTGTGGCCACTTTTTTTTTTTTTTTTAATTTTACAGAGAGAGACACACACAGAGCAAACTTACATGAGTGGGGGAGGGGCAGAGGGAGAGGAGAGAGAATCTCAGGCATACTCCCTGCTGAGCACAGAGCCTGACTCCGTTCAGTTCCCAACCATGAGATCATGATGTGAGCCAAAATCAAGAGTCAGATGCTTAACCAGCTAAGCCACCCAGGTGCCCCTCTGGGGTCATTTCTGTTGGGGGTCTCAGACATTACCTCTTGAGGCTATTTGTAGTTAGTAGGTGGTTTGGGGGAATAGCTGAGCTTTAGGGATACTTTTGGCTTGATCATAATTCTAGGCTTGCACATTGTATTATTAGTACTGGTACCTCTTGCTGCATCAAAATATTACTAATCTTACTTCTGAGGGATTCTTAATACCATGACAGAGAAAATAATAAGTTATCAAAATTCTTTTTCTGTAAGATCACTTATTAAATGGAAGATATTTCAAAGAAAATAATGCTACCTTAATTTTCAACTCAAGAATCCTAATTCACGCTTTCTATTCTCTTCCTAGGATGTGTGCAGTGTTTGGTGGAATCTATTGTCTTCGCCATTCAGTACAGTGCCTTGTTGTGGACAAAGAATCCAGAAAGTAAGGATGATATGTTACGTTCCTATAGTTGCACCCCAAGCACAGGTGAAAGATGCTAAAGTCAATTTAAAAAAAAATGATTCTTCAAAGATCCTCCTTGGTATTAATATCATATCAACCTTGATTAAAAGTAATTTGTATTTAGATCCTCCAGAACAAAGAAAGTGAGTTCAGAATATAGAAACTAAATTAATTTCCCTGCAATATAACTATAGCTCCTGATCATCCAAGCTTGGAAGACAAATCATTTCAGCTGCCGGGGGTGGGTAGTGAGTGATGTTAGTTTTCCTTGTGGCCTTACCTCCTCTAATTGATTTTTATCAGATGACAACAAAGCCCTCTGTTATTGCATTTTTAAAAATGGAGCTCACCTAAAGACTCATGAGATTAATCTCTGATGATAATACATGTCACTCCCAAGAGAAAAAACATTTTAATGACTTTTTAGGTAGATTGTTGTCATAAACTATGCTACCCTGTTATCTGAGGATAAATTCTTATACAATCATACTAGGCCTGCAGACTGGTTTAGGTTTGAAATAAGAATGTACCTGCTTTTAGAAAATGCCAAGCACTATCTATTTATGTCTATGTTTTTATGTTTCAATTATATTTTTCTAGGATTTATTATTTAGTTACTAAGATACACCCTTGTCTGAATTACACTAAGTAGTAGTCTTTGATTTCTGTGTTTAAATTAAAACTGGATTAAGTTTTAGGAGCTGTTTAAATTACTATGTATTTTTCTTTCTAGTTACGTGTTGTTAAGCATCTAACCTATATCTCTAATATGACTATTTTTAGGGGTATATAAAGAAATGGTATTGTTCAGACCATAAAATACTTTAATATCGTGAACTGGAAGCTTAAAAATAGAAAATTTAAGCTGTTTTATTTTACAGTAATTTTGTATAGTCTAAGCGGCATAATTTCTTATAGACTAATTATAACACGAAAAGCTGGTATTTTGAGATATGGTGGAGAAAAATTCAAGTCTAGAACATGTAATATTTAGGCAGTGAATTTGACTTAGAAAGTAATTCTCTAGTATAAGATAATATAAACACACAGTTTAAAGGCTTGTATGTAAAGTACTTTTAGCACCTTGATGCAAAGGTACCACATAAATGAAAAATGATAATGTATAGTGAAAAATCTTTGAAGGCCCAGGATATTCATATACTGGGTCATGAATAACTCTGTGGAGGTTCATGAAGGAATTGTTGTTTTTAAGCCTCTTAGAGTCATTTTTCCTTATATAGTCATTTTGAAGCACGAATGTGTTCCCATGATGGAAAGCCAGATAGTGAATTGTTTATTTTTATTTGGTGTTTATTTACTTACATCCTTTGACCTTTTTTGGGCCCAAATCCAGTTCTACTTGTTACTCTTAGTGACAAGAAGAATTTACATGGCTCATGTTTCTTTTTTTGGAAAATGGCTACATTAAGTACTGTAATAACATTTGTTCAACTAAAGGTTACATTTACCTTAACTTTGATGTAGTTTTTATTATAAACTCTGAAGAGAGGAATTCTTCCTTGCAACAAATAGCTGGGGGCCAAGGGTCTAAAGACCAAACATTGGTAGTTTTCAAATTTTAATGTGCCTAAGAATCACCAGGTAAACTTGTTCTGTTCTTGTTTTTGTTTTAAGGGAAATTTCTGTGCCTCACCCTCAGAGAGTGAAATTGGATAATGTGGTTAGAATGGAGTCAGGAAACTTGCAGTTTTGAGGAACACCCCAAATGAATCTAATGTAGGTGCTCCATAGATGACACTAAGAAACACTGATCTGTAATGTAAAGTTCAGGATCTAGCCAGTATTCTAGGATAGAGTGGGAGCTTTAGATCTTAATCCATTCTAGGCCCTTATGAAAATGATTCTTCCAGATCTATTGGAGTCAAATATGAATCTTTTTTTTTTAATTTTATTTATTTATTTGAGAGAGAGACTGAGATAGAGAGAGCATGAGAGGGGGGAGGGTCAGAGGGAGAAGCAGACCCCCCGCTAAGCAGGGAGCCTGATGCGGGACTCGATCCTGGGACTCCAGGATCATGACCTGAGCCGAAGGCAGTCGCTTAACCAACTGAGCCACCCAGGCGCCCTCCCAAATATGAATCTTATTTATTTTTTTTTGTTTTTTGTTATTTTCTTTAAGCTATAAATGTGGTTTTTTCCCCCAAGTTTTTATTTAAATTCCATCTAGTTAACATAAAGTGCAGTATTAATTTTAGGTGTAGAATTTAGTGATTCATCACATACAGTACCCGATGCTCATCACAAGTGCCCTCCTTATAGCCATCACCTGTTTAACCCATCCCACCTCCCCTCTAATAACCATCAGTTTTCTATAGTTGGTCTGTTTCTTGGTTTGTCTCTCTTTTATTCCCGCCTATGTTCATTTGTCTTGTTTCCTAAATTCCACATATGAATGAAATCATATGGTGTTTGTCTTTATCTGACTGACTTATTTCGCTTATCGTAATAGTCTCTAGCTCCATCCATGTCATTGCCAATGGCAAGATTTCATTCTTTTTGATGGTTAATATTCCATTGTGTATATATATATACCACATCTTTATCCATTCATCAATTGGTGGACATTTGGGCTCTTTCCATAAATTGGCTATTGTTGATAATGCTGCTATAAACATCGGGTGCATGTAGCCCTTTGAATCAGTATTTTTCTTTCCTTTGGGTAAATACATAGTAGTGTAATTGCTGTGTCTTAGGGTAGTTCTATTTTTAACTTGGTGAGGAGCCTTCATACTGTTTTGCAGGGTGGCTGCACCAGTTTGCATTCCCACCAACAGTGTAAGAGGGTTCCCCTTTCTCTACTTCCTCACCAACAGCTCTTGTTTCCTGTATTGTTAATTTTAGTCATTCTGACGTGTGAGGTAATATCTCATTGTAGTTTTGATTTGTATTTCCCTGGTGATGAGTGATGTTGAGTATCTTTTTATGTCTCTTGGCCATCTGTGTGTCTTCTTTGGAAAAAATGTCTGTTTGTGTCTTCTGCCCATTTTTTAACAGGATTATTTGTTTTGGGGGGTGTTGAGTTTGATAAGTTCTTTAAATATTTTGAATACTAATCCTTCCTCAGATAAGTCATTTGCAAATATCTTCTCCCACTCCGAAGGTTGCCTTTTAGTTTTATTGATTGTCTCCTTTGCCATGCAGAAGGTTTTTATTTTGAGGAAGTCTCAGTAGTTTATTTTTGCTTTTGTTTCCCTTGCTTCAGGAGACATATCTACAGCCAGTGTCAAGGAGGTTACTGCCTCTGTTCTCCTCTAGGATTTTAATGGTTTCCTGTCTCACAGTTAGGTCTTTAATCCATTTTGAATTTATTTTTCTGTATGTTGTAAGAAAGTGGTCCAGCTTCATTCTTTTGCATACTGCTATCCAGTTTCCCCAGTACCATTTGTTAACGATACTGTCTTTTTTCCATTGGATATTCTTGCCTGCTTTGTTGAAGATTACTTGACCACATAGCTGTGGGTTCATTTCTGGGTTTTCTATTATGTTCTATTGATTTATGTGTCTGTTTTTGTGCCATTTCCATATTGTCTTGATCACTACAGCTTTGTAATATAACTTGAATACTGCAGTTGTAATGCTCCAGCTTGCTTTTCTTTTTCAAGATTGCTTTGGCTATTTGAGGTCTTTTGTGGTTCCATACAAATTTGAGGATTCTTTGTTGTAACTCTGAAAAATGCTGTTGGTATTTTGATAGGGATTGCATTAAATGTGTAGGTTGCTTTGGATAATATAGGTATTTTAACAATATTTGTTCTTCCAATCCATGAGCGTGGAATGTTTTTCCATTTCTTTGTGTCATCTTCAGTTGCTTTCATATATGTTGCATAGTTTTCAGAGTACAGAGCTTTTACCTCTTTATGTTTATTCCTAGATATCTTATGGTTTTTGGTGATATTGTAAATGGGATCGATTCCTTGATTTCTCTTTCTGCTGCTTCATTATTGGTGTGTAGAAGTGCAACAGATTTCTTTTTGTTGATTTTCTATCCTATGACTTTACTAAATTCGTGTACCATTTCTAGCAATTTTTTGGTGGAATCTTTTGGGTTTTCTGTATATATAGTATCATGTCATCTGCAAATAGTGAAAGTTTGACTTCCTCCTTGCTGGTTTGGATGGCTTTTATTTCTTTTTGCTCTCTGCCAAAACTAGGACTTCCAGTACTATGTTGAGTAGCAGTGGTGAGAGTGGACATCCCTGTCTTGTCCCTGACCATAGAAGAAAAGCTCTGTTTTTCCCCATTGAGGAAGATATTAGCTGTGGGTTTTTTGTATATGGCCTTTATTATGTTGAAGTATGTTCCCTCTATCCTATTTTGTTGAGGGTTTTTATCATGTTGTACTTTGTCAAATGCTTTTTCTGCATCTATTGAAAGGATTCTTACCCTTTCTTTTATTAATATGGTGTATCATGTTGATTGATTAGCAAATATTGAACTGCCCTTGGAGCACAGGAATAAATTCCACTTGATCGTAGTGAATGATTCTTTTAATGTACTGTTGGATTCAATTTGCTAGTATTTTGTTGAGAATTTTTTTTTTATCTATGTTCATGAGGGATATTGGCCTATAGTTTTCTTAATTAGTGGAGTCTTAGTCTGGTATTGGAATCAGTGTAGTGCTGGCCTCATAGAATGAATTTGGAAGTTTTCCTTCCATTTCTAGTTCTTGGAGTGGTTTGAGAAGAATAGATATTAACTATTTTTTAAGTGTTTGGTAGAATTCCACTGGAAAGCCATCTGGCCCTGGACTTTTGCTTATTGGGAGATTTTTGATTTTTTGGCCCTGACTCAGTTTCTTTGCTGGTTATTGCACTGTTCAAGTTTTCTATTTTTCTCTCTTCAGTTTTGGTAGTTTATATGTTTCTAGGAATTTATCTGTTTCTTCCAGGTTGTCCAATTTGTGGGCGTATAGTTTTTCATAATATTCTCTTATAATTGTTTATATTTCTCTGGTGTCA